CTTGATTAAGTGTTGGAATCACATGTGATTCATCAAAGGGAAGTGAAATGACATTTAAAGGTGTTTATGGTCATTAGACCAACTCCATTGGAGTTTACGATTGTAAACCCATGAGTTTACAGCCGTAAACTCATGGTACTCCTACCATTTTGTGGTTTGAAGTCCTAAAAGTCATAATAAAGCATCGTAACTTCAAGTCTAAGCCTTAGGAAGTCTTTGTGGCATCAATACACTCCTAAATGGCGTTTACGGCCCATGGACCACTTATCCATGTGCTTACGGCCATAAACCCATATGGATGATGGTCTTGTGATGTTTTCAAGTACTTAGCACATCAAGGTAAAGGTCTAGTCTAGTTTCCAAGCATAAGGAAAGAATTTAGGGCAACCTTGCACCATAAAAGGGAGTTTACGACCTTGGGTGATCCTTGGCCGTAAACTCTCATCCAATCCTTGTTTCTTGATGTTTTTGATACCTAAAAATGTTAAATCTAGTACATAACAAGTTAGAACAAGAGTACTTACCATCTAGGAGCTTGAAGGGTTGGTTTTTGGCCAAGAACACTAGTGTGTGTTCTTGGTGTTTCTTGAAGATCTAAGAAAACATGATTTTTGTGGATGAAATCATGAGAGAATGCTAGATTAAGAGGTGTATCAACTAATAAAGGATGAATACTTACTAGTTTTGAAGATCTAGGGCGATTGTTGTTATGATAGTTGAGAGAGAACCAAGGAAAATTCGGCCAAGAAATGAAGAAATGAGAAGAAATGACCCATTGCCCTATATATACTCTTGAGTTTACAGCCACATGAGTTTACGGTCGTAAACTCATGGTCTTGTGGCCGTGAACTCATTTAGATGGGGTTTAGGTTCGATTTGCTACACCGTGGTTCTAGCGGATACTTTCTAACACTTATTCCTTAAGTGTATTAGGCTCAAAACTCCTTAGAATGACCTGTAACCAGGCTAGAACTTTGTACTAATGATTTTGACACTCAGTTGAGTTGACTGACTGAGATTATAAAATAATAAAAAAAAGGAAATTTTGGGTTGTCACATAATTATCTTATAATTACACAATAAGTCCCTTAAGTTTAATTAATCTCTTTTAGCCACAAAATTAATTCTTAATTAATGCTTGACTAATATTAATTAAACAATATGATTTCTCATTTAATATATTATTTTTATAATATATTAATAAATCATAATTAAACCTTTCTCTCCTTAATTCATCCTACGTATTGCTATGGTGAAAGCAACCCAAAAGGACCATGCTCATAATCGGGTCAAGTACATACCAAATAGTTATGGACTTATACACTAATCCAACAAAAGTTACTTTTCGAAATTGTAGGCAAGGAATAAAGCAATAGTTAAACTTTCTAAGGGCATGATGGCTCCATTAACCCTAACCTTAACTTTGTGTGTTTTTCCAGCAACTGAGCCTTATTGTTTGTACACTTTTTCTGATGAGAGGGTTGCAGATCCAAAAATGATGATTGCATATTAGGAAGTGAAGTGGTGGAATAGTATGTTGTAGATCTAGACATGAAGTGGTGGCATGGATAGATGTCGACAAATAGGGAGATGATGTTGATTCTTTATATACCGTGATATTTTAAAAATATATAAAAACAAAAAATGATATACTAGTTATTTTGATTATGGTATGGACTAAATTTGAAGCAAAACAAAACCATAGGGATGATTCGAGTAAAAAAGATCACATGCCAGATACCAAACTGTAGGACATTTCATGAAATTTACTCTAAATTTTGTGAGCATCTCAATAATCGTAAATATAATGGTTTAGACAATTAGGGCTTGTTTGATATACTTTGAATGGAACCATTAAGAGGCGGTCTCTAAATGGTTTAACCATTAAGGGAGTTTGATTACCTAATTTTAACCTAGGATTTAAACAAAACATTTTGGGTCTACATTTGGCTCGAGAATGAACCTTTAGCCTTCTCTTTTTTTTAACCTAGTTTTCCATGAAGTTTGACTGAGGGCTTGTAACCGACAGAGTATGATACATGGAGGAATCAAACACATTCAATTGGTGTTGGGTTAAACCAATTAGGATGGGCAGAACTTCTGATGATTTGAGGAAGTAACAAGATGCGTGTAAGATGAAATTTACATCAGATACATAAATAGTTTGCATGGAAACTAGACAAATTAGATATTTATTTGTCTCTTCCTTGATAAGCTAAATTGATAAGATATCCCTTCCACAACTAAGTATCATTGGTGTTGGAATAAAATGATTCTTAGGAAGGTTAATATCCTTTGAAGATCCACGAGATTCATTGAATGTGTTATGTAATCTCTCTTCCAACTCCTTGCTGATTTTTTATGTTTGAAGTTCTACGTATTTGATGAACATTATTGTGCTTGTAATTTTTGATACAATCTAATTTTAGATATAATTACTTCTTGGTTAGAAAGTTAAAGTGGTAATCTATTTTCCATCTTACAGATCTATTCGACAACATTACTAAACAACATTTAATCAACACTTATTCATGCTTTTTAATGGTTCAATACTTAATAATTCAGGTTCTATCAAACAACCTCTTATACATAAATAAACTTTACGAATCCAATTGCGAATTGACATTGAAATAATGTTTTTTTTCTGGAAAAACTACTTCGATAATTCACGAGTTATTTTTCATTAAACATATGACTAATTTTTATAAAATGTATACACTGATTTTTGGACACTTTAGTGAAGCAACTCTAATTTAAAAATTGGTGTATCTCCCTTAAACCGAATTTCATATCAGATACAAAAAAAAAAAAAAAAAAAAAAAAAAAAAAAAAAAAAAAACTTTAATATATTTTTAAAAATGAAAATGTTGTATTTTGAATAACATGTAATATTAGGGTAAAATATGAAAGGTGTTATGATATAAACTAGGTGTGAGACTCATATGTAATACGGGTTGATTAAAATAAAATGTTAAATACGAATGATTAAATGGAGAGTACATTTTAATTTGAAACTTAAAATAAGTATAAAATTATAAGAAAAAAACATGAAAAAAATTAAAATTATTTGTTTAGTTGTTAGATCTATATACTAAACGTGTTAATTATAACAAAATGTTAAATATAAAGGTTTAAACTGTAAAATTATTTAAAATTAAATTTGAAACTTGAAATTTGATATTAATATAGTAATTATGATATATTTAATTTATAGAAACTAAATTAGCGATATATTGAATTGAAAAATGAAAAATAAAGTAAATTACAAATGGAAAATAAATTTTTTAAAGTTATAACAAAATGATATGTTGCATAATAGATAAGAGAATGATATTTAGCAAAAAAAAACTTTCATTTATTAAGGAAGATATCAATAAAATATATTAATTTTGATATTTATTTGTTAAAATTTAAAATATGTAATTTTACTTTGCACAAGTTAGGGCTATACGCATAGTTTATTATATAAATGCAACTATTTAATATACACGTAGGGATGACCTTCTTAATATAGATGACTGAGAACATCATTGCCATCAACGTAATACCCGCAAAATACAAAGGGCACTTGAGACATATCACCGATCTTTCCGTAAGTCGACGCCTTACAAGGGTGACATATAGCAGTCATCACTAGACAAGACAGACCAACAATATCATGACACGTGTATTCACACACCCACACGTGTCACAAAGCGATGACGTTACTTAACAGCTTCGTGATGCACTCAAACGTAACCCAATGGCCGACCCGACCTCTCTTCGTACGCAAAAGACATCCGAAATGGCGTAAGTGCCAAACGCAACACGTGATCCGACGGCTGTCAATGAACTTTAAGCCCCTCCACCGATTAGATCCTAGCCGTCCACTTTAACATTTGTAGTAAAGATAAATCATACTAAGCCCCTCCACTATGGTGAAATATCAAATTCATCGGTTAAATGTTTATATTTTGAATCATAATAGTCCTTAAACTCTCATTTTTTACTTCAAAGATGCTTTGCATTTTCCTTTTACTCCCCATTACAATGCTAATCCACTTAGTTCTAATAAGTAATGTAGTTTTGTTGTAATGTCATCTTTAGCAACTTCTATCCCTGTCAATACAATATCAGTTTAATGGTTGAAAATAAAATCTTAAAAATGAGATATTGGGATCAATTCAGACCTACTTTTATGAAAATTTGTTTTTGACATTATACTTCTCATGCTATGATCACAATTCAGGTGTCCTGTAAGACAACCATGGGTATGAATTACAATATTTTTTCAAACTTCTATTTATTGCATTGTTAGATATCAATTTTGGACCCACCGTTGATGTTAATGGTGACATTTAAAATTTATTTGTGATAACCTAAATATGTTAGATCCAAGTCATATGTGTGATGTGTCGGTGAGTAAGGTTTTCACAGGGTATTTTTCGAATCATGTAGATTGTCACATTTTTCAAGTTAAAACTTAACTTCCAATAGTCGATTTCAAAACTATATCTGACCATGACAACCAAAACCTTCAACGAGTATTCAATATTTCATATGCTTTTAGTCTTTTTATGTACGAACCATACATCAACAATATCCCACATAGCAATAAGTACAAAATGAATTTATTTTTGGACCCAAAGAAATGAAACTTCTTAATCATTAATAAATATCAAGTACTACATACTAGAAAGCTCTAACAAACGTGATATGTGTATTGAGGGTGAAATTCCATATTGTTGACAATAACAAAATTTAAAGATGAGATATAAATTAAAAACAAACTTTAATTTGTTTTGAAGGATGACATTCTATTAATTTTATTATTTTTTTGGAAAAATTATAGTAGGACGACGAGAGTCCACACATGTTGGTTCTTTTAAATGCATCACTAGTTATAGAGTCATAAATACATAAAACAATAGTACAGGGACTAATATTGTCATATAGGTATAATAGTAGGACCAGAAAGTTATATATTCCTTTTTAACAATGCTTGCTTTTGTCCATTAGCTCAGGCGTTGTTATGTTGATGAATTCTAAGCTCAAAATTGTTTTCACCTCCTCTTTCTCTTCCTTTCTCTCTCTACAAACTTTTTCTCTCTCAAGAATCTCTCTGCAAATTCTTCTGATCGGCGAAGAAACTCCATCAACAACGAGTTCTGGAGTTCAATTTCCATCGTTGCACATTTGGTCGAATTCGCAATGGTAAATGTGCAGCGTTTGTATGTACAATTGATCAATTCAGAAACATCCATGTGTGCGTGTGTGTGTTTTACTATGTGTTTCTGGTATGTGTTCTTGGTGTCGATGAATTGATTCTAATGTTTGGCGAATGCAGCAGCAGTTGGTGCCGCCATGGCTAGAGAAGCTTCTCGGAACGGCATTCTTCTCGGTGTGCCGGACGCACGGCGCCGCCGCGAGAAGTGAATGTAATATGTATTGTTTGGATTGCAATGGCGACGCATTCTGCTTCTATTGCCGATCTTCTCGCCATAAAGAACATCAAGTCATTCAGGTTCGTGTTTGTGTGTGTGTGTTTTTTTTCCTTCACATTTATAACAGACAATCTCACGCTCTGATCGGTTGTACTTACAATGTTGTAATGTACAACTCCATTGATTTCATGAAGACCTTGAAATTCACATCAACATTATCAAAATTCGATTGCTTCTTTTCTTCACATTTTCTTTCAATTTTGTTGAAATTAAACATTAATTACGTTTACATTATAAAAAATGAGATGAGATATATCACATTGTTTTCATTTTCAACATTATATTCACCTCAACAATTTTGTTTTTATGCAATTTAAAAATCTTTTTTCGAAACTTTTTATAACACCAACACTATTCTCAACTACCTTCACATTGTCAATTCTGTAAAGCTTTTCACAACTTTTCGATGAAAATGCAGATCAGAAGATCATCATATCACGATGTTGTGAGAGTTTCTGAGATCGAAAAAGTTTTGAACATCAATGGAGTTCAAACATACGTTATAAACAGTGCAAGAGTTCTATTTCTAAACGAAAGGCCACAACCTAAATCAGGAAAAGCAGTTTCACACATTTGTGAAATTTGTGGAAGAAGCTTATTGGATGCACTTCGATTTTGTTCACTAGGCTGTAAGGTTAGCATAATCTCCTTCATTAATTAATTACTCTCATTTAATATTTTAATACCTAATTTTTTGCTTTAATTGTTGCCTTTGGTTTGCTTCACAATGTTGACAATACAACTCACCTCCCATATGAATTGGCAATCGCATGTACCATATGATCATGACCTCATCATGCACATCATTTACATGTTAAAGAAACTTAAAATAATAATAATAAAGCAACCCATTATACAACAATAATAACATAAATATTTTTATTAGTATATATGGATATAACGTGATATAAATATTACAGTAAAACAAGAGTAAAAGTTTTGCTTTTTTTGGACATGCTTTCTTGGGTGTTTCTAGAATATTTCAACAATATAACCCTTTTTGATATAATAAATGTAATACTGTTAATTTAGGTGAGATTTATAGGTAAAATTTATTCAAAAGTAAATCACATGGATTTCCAATAACTAACTTGATTATCTATAGTAACAATTACTATTCAAAATGTTCAATGCTATATGTAAAATGTAAAATGTAAAATCATGCAAATTTTGTTTTTAAATGTTAAATGTTTAAAAAAATTATATAATACAAACATTTATGACATTCTTCATTTACTATTGATATTATTTAATCCAACAAAAAAGAAACTTATAATTTGTGGTTTTAGGTAGTGTTTGGTATTTAATAATCCAATAGAGAATATAATTAAAGTACATTATCGATAATAATAATAAAAAAAAATTATGATTCTTTGTCACAAGGAATGGAATCCGGTAATCATCATCTAATTTGATTCGTTCCCATTGACTGATTTCTATTATAAAATTTTCATTGACACTATTTTTTAAATTTTAAAACATTTTTTTATTATATATCCATTTTAATATTTTTTTGTACTTAACTTTTGTTTCGTTTAACATTTTTTTTCCAAAGTTTATATATGTAACTAATTTATCAAAACCCACAATAATGCTAACAACATTATGACAATCACCATCACTTCCTAAAATCCAAATAAAATCTCACATTATTTTGTAACACCACTTTATTTATTTAATTTTTTACATAAAGGTTGTAGGAATAAAAAGAAATGGAAACACAAGCTTTATGTTAGAGGACATATCATCATCATCAACAAGAATGATATCATCATCATCAACAAGAAGAGAAGAAGAAGAATTGCGTGAAGGCTCACAACAAGACATTTACCCGCCCACACCTCCCCCACCTCTTTCTTCAACTTCCTCCACTAGGAGAAGAAAAGGCATTCCTCATAGGGCTCCTTTTGGTTCCTAATATATATATAAATAAATAAATACCTATATATATTTATATATATATAATATATCATATACTCGATATATTGAAAAAAAGGTAAATTACTAAATTACCCTTGAAAAAGCAAACAAAACAAATGCCCTTTAAATTCCTCCTACTTTATACAACCCATCAACATTGACAATTTGTTTCACCAAATACATACCCATCTATGGCATGCCTTCCCCAAGCCTTTCTAGGCTATCATTTATATGTTTCTAGTTCGAGAATGTAGTATATGAGGTGTGTCGTATGATAAAGGTCGTTTAAAACAGTACACTCAGTAAAAAAAAGTAAAAAAATGTAAATCTATATTAAATGGTTTGTTTGTTAAAGACGAGTGATTCTTGGAGCTCAGGTTTAGTGAAGGATCATAATGAAGATATAAAAGTCGAAACCAATTTTTTTTACTGGAGGGTTTAAATTAAAGAATCAAATCAGAATTTGACGTGTATTGTTGAATGGTTTATTTTTAAAATTATGATTGAGTGATTCCTGATTATGGGATAGAGGATTAGTAGATGATCATAATGAAGATATAAAAGTCGAAACCTATTTTTTTACTGGATGGTTTAAATTAAAGAATCAAATCAGAATTTGACGTGTATTGGTGAATGGTTATTTTTAAATTAAAGATGAGTGATTCCTGATTCTGGGACTGAGGTTTAGTGAAGGATCGTAATGAAGATATAATAATCGAAACCAATTTTTTTTAGTGGATGGTTTAAATTAAAGAATCAGATCAGAATTTGATGTGTATTGTTGAATGGTTTATTTTTAAATTAAAGATGAGTGATTCCTGATTCTGGACCGATGTTTAATGAAAGATCATAATGAAGGTATAAAAGTCAAAATGTAGATTTTTTGTTGGATTGTTTAAATTAAAGAATCAGATCAAAATTTAACGTGTATCATTGGATGGTTTGTTTTTAAATTAAAGACGAGTGATTATAGGAACTGAGGTTTAGTGAAAGATAATAATAAAAGCATAAAACTAAAATCATCTTTTTTTTTATTGGATGGTTTAAATTAATGAATCAAATCAGGATTTGACGTGTATTGTTGGATTGTTTATTTTTAAATTAAAAACGAGTGATTGTAGGAATTAAGGTTTCGTGAATTATCATAATGAAGGTATAAAAGTCAAAAACATATTTTTTTACCGAACGATTTAAATTAAAAAAAATCAAATCTGGATTTGACGTGTATTGTTGGATAGTTTATTACGTCATTACATGATAAATATTATTTTAATCTAGATTGATGTGGAAATATGAACTACAAAGAGAGTTGGTAGTAAAATTAGCTATAGGGATGGGGGAGGGGTCCCAAAGTACAAAACAAAAACTCTTGTTGGGAGAGAGCCATAAGCCAATAATTCATAATTGTTATTTATAGTTGAAAGGTATATATTTAATTAAGAAACTAAAGCAATATGTAAATATATATATTTTTTTGTGGAGTCCATTTTATAAGTTTTATTGGCCCCCCAACTCACATGGGCCGTTTACAAAAAGGAAAGCTTTAGTTAATTTAATATTTATTTAATTCCATATAATATACTCAAAGGAAAAAAGTTGGGTAAAAGTCATGTTTCTTTGATGGAACCTAGTTTGGTTGGCTCTATGAATTGGAATCAATTTCTTAATTTATGGTTGTGTTTCTTTACATTATTGTTATAATCAAAAGTAGCTTTGATTTAATTTTATAATGCAAACGAGTTAGTTTCATGTTTTATTGTTAAGTTATTAAAAATAATCAATTATATGAGAAAAAACTTGTTATATCATTTATATGAAATAAACATGGTCGGGCCGTTACTAAGTCCATCTTGATTGAACATTTGATTTGGAGACTTTTAACTTAGAATTGACATGTGTTTTTCTTTTTGCCAATCTTAACTACTTTTTTTTAATTATTGAAAATAAATCATTATTTAAATAAAAGAAAAAGATTCATAATCTACAAAAGTAGATGTCATTCGGTTTGTTGGTTTTTAGGTAATGGTGAGTTAGTAGTCTTTGAATCTTTTATATTTTAGAGTGTTTGGATAGTAGTTTTTTAATTGTTCATGAACATTTTAATTTTTTGTTGGTTTTTAGGTAATGGTGAGTTAGTAGTCTCTGAATCTTTTATATTTTAGAGTGTTTGGATAGTAGTTTTTTAATTGTTCATGAACATTTTAATTTTTAGGAAAATGAGTTGTATCTAAGAATATTTTATTATCTTTTCAACAAATATTTTTCATTTTCTTTTTTTTTTATTTCACACGATTGTCTTTTTCCTTCTTACTGTTCTATCAAACCTCTTAAAAATTCAGATTTTAAAATTTTTAAACATATTAAAAATTTAAGATTCTTAAAACTTAATATATCTTAAAACTTAATATATCTTAAAAGTTCGGACCTTGTTAAATAGCACCTTAACATTTTCAATGATGTTTGTGGTGATATTTTGTTTTCAATGTATTTAACTATTTATCATTTATCATGAATGTAACAAATTTATAATAAACTATATACTAGTGTTCGAGCGAAAATATATCAAATTAATATTAGAGATTAACTTTAGCCTTACTTTATGCAACATATCACGATTAGCTTTAACCTTACTTTATCTAACAAATAACTTATTCGGTTGGAAAACCCTCTTCAAGAATGTCTTCGCATCCATTTCTTGTCTTTAGTTGAAATTTATTCTATCATTGATAGCTACGGGTTTTGTCAATTTAGTCTTGAAAAATATACCATTCATTAATTGAAAACATTAATGAATAGAGAAATTGCAAAAGTTAGGTATTTGTTCATTATTTGAATTGAAGTCAAATCTTGTAATTTTTCAAATTACACAAGCAAGGAATTAAAGTATCCTAAGAATCCAGGAATCCAAGCAATAGAGGAATCTAAGTCTTCGATAGTAGCCAAAATTTGAAAATAATGTTTTACCACTACAAATAATGTAACCATAATAAATTATAGATATCTACAGAAAAGTTTCAAACTTTTGGAAAATTTTTCAATAAAATCCTAAAAAAATTTTTTAACTGGAAAGTCTCAATTATTTAACATTTTGTTTAAATTAACAAAAAATTTATTTTTTTTAAATATTTGAACAGTAAATGATAGATTCTTTTATGATTTTTTCAAAATAATGAGATTTTTATGTTAAAAAAAAAGTTGTATGACTTTCTTGAAACTCTTTCCAAAACTTTAGGATTTTTCTATAAATATCCTTAATAAATTACTTTGAGGCTGATTTTTTGGAACTACAAACACACAAGCACACTCCCTAATTACTTATATATTATTCATTTTGTCTCTAACGTGACTTGCACCTTCAGCCTTTGGCTGATAACATATTTTCATCTGCATCTGATACCGATAAGCTACATTTGAGACCGATCATTTAAAAACTTAAGCATTTTACCAACCAATGTTAAAACATGATATTTAGCTACAAACAAGATTAAGTCCGATACGAAATGAGTTTTTTTTTTTTTTTTTTTGACACTTTAGTTTGTGGATTCTTCTTTAATGGAGGAATATTTTCCAATTTTTTGGTTCTTTGCTTTCTTAATTAAGATGGGGACCTATAGATACAAAAAATTCCTTATCAAACAGCTAATATCGGGTCATTCCTAGATCTAGACCCGACCACACAAGACCAAACTATTAGGAATTTTCGATCATGCTATAAAATGGGAAGACCATATCAAAATGCATGTAGAAACGGCAATAGACTTTTATATATTGTTACCCTCTTTTCTTTGTGGCCTATATCAAAATGTGCCGGCTATTCTAAGTAGGAATTGGCACAACGACCAATTATAGAACATCTTATTTAAAAGGGCATATTTGCTAGCTCTACTCCTAGGGTAGGGGTTATGAATATAGAATTGTACATGCATTATATTATCTTAAATCATTATACATAGGGTATGCATATACATGCATATATTATCGTAAATCTTCTTATATGGGTATGTATGTACATGCATAGATTACTAAATGTGCATCTCTAACAAATTATTTTTGGTTGGCACTCTATTAGTTTATCACAATACATTCTCCAAACCAAAATATTTGTCTTTTTAGGAATAAATTTAGTCAATCTAGATGGTTCATTACCCGCAACATACCTAACATTATTAATATAGTTTCTGATAGAAGACATTATAACCAAGACTAAAGTGGTGTTTGTTTTGGAAGAAATAAAATGTTTTCAATCTGTTTTCAAATTTCCGGAATAAGATGTAGATCAAAAGTATTTTTTTTTTTCCAAATCTTTAGTTTTCATAAAAAAATAATGTTTGTTTTTAAAGTGTTCATAAAAAATACGAGTGATATTGATGTCAGTGTTGGTGGTTGTGAAGGTAGGGGTAGGGCTGGTGGTGGTAACAAATGTGAGGGTGGGGCTAGTGCTAGCGAAGATTGGGGTCGGTGGTGGTTGCAAAGGTGGCGAAGGCGGAGGGGATGATGGTGTTGGCGGTGACGGTGGCGGTGGAGGTGGTTGTGGTGGAAAAAGAATTATTATATTAGAATTAGAACATAGAAAATGTTTTTCAAAAACAAAAGCTACTTGTTTGTCTTTTAGAAAAAGAACGTTAAAAGGATTTTTTATGTTTTGTGTTTAGAAAAACAAAATCTTTTTCTAGAATGTCTTTTCTCCCACAGACATAAGGCATCAAAAAAACATTTTTGCTAAAAAAACCCACCTTAACGAAGACAACTTACCCGTCTATGAGAAAAATACCAAACGATGCTATAAGGTATACTAAGGCCACAAGATATTCATCTTCATTCACCATCTACAATCTTGACTAGGGATGGAAAGGTGTCGGATTTGGGACGGAGTTGACTATCCCTGTTTTCATCGCCGAGTGTCTAACCTCGTCTCCATCTCCATCTCTGACGGATGCAGGGAATCAAATCCCCTCCCCTTTGTATTTTGGGTTTTTTTCCCAAGCCCATCCCGGCCCATCCAAACCCAACCCCAATCTATCAACATAATAAAATCAATTTACACAAAACAACCAAGTTTAATAAGCGATTAAAACCAGATGTCACAATCAGATTCTGTTTACATCAATCATAAAGTTTAACAAGCATCAAAACAAAAAGTGACGATTGACGAACTTTTGGAATTGGAAACATAATTTGATGACTATATATATATATATATATATATATATATATATATATATATATATATATATATATATATATATATATATATAGTCATCAAAGCGGGAGCGGGGCAGGTTAGGGATTGCTATACTTGAAGCCCGTACCGGGTACCCATTTTTGTGGGGAATATCTGTCCCTGATTGGGGCGGGTCAACCGGGTTCCTCACCCGGTAGGGTGAAATTTTCATCCCTAATCTTGACGTTATGCCTAACAATAATTATTATTTATGAATTGATTCGTAATAAGACAATTTATGTCGATTTCCAACAAATAAAGTCTAAGAAATTTCTTTTGAAGCAAGTTTTTTCTTACACAAACATTCGACAAATCTAGTGGCCGAATCATTGCCAACCTCTTTTTTTTTTTTTTTTTTTTTTTTTTTTTTATTTTTTTTTTTATTTTAAGAAAAGAACTTAAGGCAATCTTGTCTCATGCAACGAGATAATATGAAATTCTAGACCAAGTGCTTACAACTTAGCCCCTATATCAAAAGGATAAAACCCACATTCC